TGGAAGCCATAAATGAGATAAACATGGAACACTGGTGGATTATAAAAATGCTACAGAAATGTACACAGTTCTGACAAGGACTTCCCACCACTACTCCCAGCTATGCACAGGCAGAACTGAAAATTGATAGCACACAGTATCTTACCTACTTCCCTTGCCACCAGCAGACCAACCGCAGCCACTTACAATGCTTGTGGTGCATATTCCTCAGTGTTATTCCCAGAAAACTGAACCCACAGCAATTTTTATAAATGAGTTATTGACCTTTACAGCTTTTTCAAAGAGAAAGGCCAATGAGTCACATTTATTCTACAATTCCAGGCCATCTGAATCTCCTCAAAGATGATGGTTTGAGAAGTTTTTAATTCTTGGCTTTGTTTGATAAACCCAAAATTTAAAATCTGCATTTTTAAGCAGTGATTTATCTCATTTATCTTACAGTTATATTGGCTTCTGGATCCAACATTCACATAACACATCATCTCCTTGTGTGTACGATGTCCAAAGCCCTCACCTCTCAGGGGCTCCCATCCCAGCAACCAAACAAAGCCCCTATGAACCGCCCACTGAACTGAGATTCTCTCACTCTCAAAGAGAATAAAACAAAACAAAACAAAACAAAACATGAGAATAGTATCAATGAAAAATGATCCCAGATGTCTAGTGGCCCTATCTCTGTGCTTTATAGATTTATATACTGGGTGTATAACTTGCCCAGTGCTGCTGTTAGGACCAGAATTCCTGGCTTTTGAGCTAAACAAACAACACAACTGAAAATACACTCAGGTTCAGACATCCTGAATTACAAATCTGGGCTTAATATATGCAAGTTCTTCATCTGAATGATGGAAATAATAGTGACAATCTTACAGGGTACAATTAAATGAGGTAATGCATGGGAAGATTTTTGTAAAAGAGAATAGGAGATGCTCAATAATTTTTTTTTAATCAATCACTCCTAAACTTGACCATTCCCAGCAGCATCTTTTTTCTCCTCCCTTCCCTTCTATAACACATCTATTCCTACCGTCTCTACTGTGAGGCCCTAGTCATCCTCAAAAGCAAGTCATAATTGATTTCTCTTCTCATTTGCCAGCCCACATACATCCACACACTCAGCCCTACCAATAAACTTTCTTACCTATTCAAAAATCCAAAGTAGAGTTTCTACTGCCTATCGGGAAGACAGCCAAATCCACAGCGGCTGCATGTGGACCAACGACCTGAGCCTGAATCCGTGAACATTTTCGAGCCTTGATTCCTTTGGCGGCACTGTGAGCACCCTGTTCCTACTGGGCCTGCTTTAGTGGAGTGATGGATCCCACCTCTTCCTGGTGCCCACGCTGGCAAAGTCACATGGAATTTGTTCTGACAGCCAAGGGCATAAATGATGTCCTATACTGCACAATGGTTCTGTAAATGTTTTGCTCGTGACTGTGGAAATTCTGCCTCTCTGAACATAGGGTAGCCCTGTGGCCAGTTTCTAGGAAGTCTGTTTAGGACTGTGGCAGAGCTCTGTGGTTCAGAGCTTGCCCTGAGTTTGATCCCAGCACCCACACCCGCAACAAAGGAATCAAAACCAAGTCCATTTAATAGTTCTTCTGTAAAAAGTTGTGCTACATAAAAACGGAAAGAATTCTGAATAATCTCAACTTTCATAAGAACAAATTCTAGGAAAATTTTCCTAAGGTGCAGATTTACTTTCTTAATCATTTAAGCAATGTCTTTAACCTGCCTGAAATTGGCAGGCAGAGATGATTAGGAATTGAAGAGTACTATTATATACTGTAAAAGAGCTCTATGTCGGTGAAATAATATATACTTACCTACTATTTGGGGCTTATTAAAAGCAAATGTCACTTAACTATGTCAGTCATTCCTTAAAATTAAAAAAAAAATCAACAACTGCATTGAGAAATATCTTCTTGAATTAAAGCACAGCTTGTATTTGTGGACATTAAATGAGGTATTTGCTGACTCAAAATAAAGGAAAATAGGCTGGGGATTTAGCTCAGTGATTTCGCCACCTGCTGCGCAAGAGCAAGTTCGATCCCTGGTACCAAAAAAACCAAAAACCAAAAAACAAAACAAATACAAAATAAAGGCAAATACTTCCAAGGCTGCCTTTATTGTGGGTCAAGGCCGGCTCACTTTTTACAATGTTGATAGCTAGCTTTACAGTCACTGTTTTAAAGATGGCTACAGAATCAGCCAGAATTACCTGTCTGGGGGGGGGGGTCAGTCTGCCGAAGCATGAAATGTACCATGGTTTCCTCTCCACAACATTCTGTGGCTTCCTACTTCTAGAAACTTGGACATTATTTCAAATCACTGGGCTGTTTGGTGAACATGGCTTATGAAAAATAAAACAATAATAAGTGAAACAGACTGCACTGCTGCGTCAACTGACCGATTCCCAAAAATCGCAATTTGACCCTTTTCATAAACAGTGACTGAGAACTGTAGATAGATCATGTACCATGGGGATATTATTTCCCACTTAATTTCATATCTCGTACCTCATAATTTCCTATTTAATTTCACATCTTGTATTTTGCAAAGTTTCTAGGGAAAAAAAAGCTTTTGCTTGAACCATACACAAACCTTGCATCTTCCATTTATGTAGTAAGAACTTGCACCGGGTAGGACATTTTTCTTGTTATGGTATCTCAGTTATACTAAATTTTGTAGCATTAACCACTGAATACTACAGTTGTAATTCTCTCCAAGAGAAAGTGTATTCAGGGCCCTCCCAAGTAAGGAGTTTGCATAACTAGATTAATATCTCGTGCCCAACTCAGCAAAAGCTACTAGGAAATCTGCATTTCACCTCAAGTTTAAAAAAGTGTAATAAATGATTTCTCACTTTAACACTAATACATTGAAAATTCAGTTCACTAAGTTCTAGTGTTTTCATTCTTGTAATTCCCAAACCTATTAAGAAAGCAGTTTTGCAGGTTTCTTCCTCTGAAATAATGCCAACTTTGTGTCACAGGTCTTTCTGAAGATACATGGAGATTTAATTTCAACAGTGAACAAAACAGGAGATGGAATCAATTCCTTTTAAAAAGTGCCTATGTTGAAATCCTGAATTTCTCCTTGATACAATCACACATTGAGTTTCCTTAATGTTTTGATAAGAAGTGAATTAATAAAGTGATGAAATGCTACGCATCAATAAATGTTATCTGAATGAAGCTGTTAATTGCAATTCAGTAAGATTAGTTTTAAATATAATTTTTCTGCAGAGAATGAGTTTGGCCATCCTAACTTAGTTTTCCAGATCAACCTATATCCTTCCCAAGGCTACCATACTCATGTTATTCAAACAAAAGTTTCCAAATAAAAAAACAACATAGTTTCTCTTCTACTTAAAAAAAAATGAACCATAAAATATATAAGTCTGACTTAAACTTCATGAGCAAGCAGTTTATTCACATGATTTAACTGCATTTTTCTGGGATATAAATAGTGTGATACAGCAAGCTCAACTGTGTGGGGCTCAAAGGACAATTGTGAAAATGCAAATCCTCCTTTAAAGTTACATTAGCTTTACTAAAATTTATTTTTAGAGCTCTTTTCATCTCGTTTGGCCACCTACATGCTCCATACCTCAACCATAGAAGTAAATATGTCTAAAATTGGTGCTGGTTTTGATAAGCCAAGTGATGACATCAGCCCGAGGTCCCGCCCCTAGGACAGACTGAGAATGCGACTCGTGGGTAGTGAGGTCCCCGCCCACTGCTCCGGTCCCCACGCATCACGGATTTGGAGTCGAGGTTTGTGTTCAAACATCTCTCACTGCTTACTCGCAGGGATTCTCCGGCAACAGCTTTGTCAAACACAGGAGAGGGTGGGAGAGAGACAGCAACTACATCTCTGTCTTACAGGACAAGAAGCTAAACGGGGCATGGCAGGTTCCATCAATGTCTTTAATGTCACTGAACTCTACTCTTAGAAAGAGTTAAAATAGTAAATTGGATGTTATGCACATTTTACTACAATTTAACTACGTGATAGGTTTTGAAAACTACCTCCGTGTGTTTCAGAGGTTTTCCACAACTGTGTAATAAATTTCCAAGTCCAGTGTACAATCGGTGATAGCTGTTACCCTAATTGGCTTGCTCTTTCTGCAACATTCAGCTACGCTGCCCGCAAGTATCCATTCTTCAGCAATCAGTAAACAGCACGTACTCGCGGAACTTTCTAGTTTACAGTGCCCCAGAAGAAAACTTAAAAAACAAACACCACGTGACAGAGCGTGGCAGGGAGCACTCCGAAGCATCGCCCGCTCCCCTGTAGTATACTGGGGTGAGGAGCTGGGGAGTGGGGAGACCCTGTCTCCTACCCCCAGGATCCTCATTACCCAGCGCTGCGCGACTGCTACAAGGACAAGCAGGCGCTGGCCTGGGGGAGTCAAAGGCAGCCGGGTCCCCGGCGCGGCGCGGGGCTGTAGCGCTTCCCGAGGGGCAAGTGCACTCCCAGGGCCGAGGGCGCTGCTGCTGCCCGGAGTGCACTATCCCCCCACTCCCCCAGGCCTCCAGTCCCGAGCGAAGGCAGAAGTGAGGTCAGCACCTTCTGCACCCCGAGGACTTGCAGGGGCTCCCAGCTGCCGGAGGGCGGGGCTGGCGGGGTCTGCCTGGGTCTCGGGTGGGGGACTTCTGCACACCGAAATCTACCGCCTTAATGTGGCACAAGACTTAGGAGAAATAATGAGGAAACACGCAGCACCAGGCCACGGTTGTCACCCCCCTTTTCTGCTCCGTGCGCACCCAGGACAAAGCTCTGTCTGCGCACTGGCTCTGCAGTGCTACCTGGCTGTCCTCAGCCCTCCCTCGACTAGAACGAGAGAGGTCCTGGGGTCACTGCGCGTGCACAGCCAGCGCCCAGTAGCACTCTGCAGGCGGGAGCGCAACCGGAGGGACCACGCAGAAGTGCGGCTCCTCTCGGTCGCTCTCAGCGTCCAGCCCCCCACGACTTGGGACGCCCCAAGTACCTACCAAGAGCGGCGACCAGCAGACGGACAGCACGCACAGGATCCCCGTGAGCTGCAGGGCCGTCTCCGTGGTGATGCGGCCCCACTGGGCGCTGGGCTGGGCCGCCACCGCTTTGGCCCGGCAGCGGGACACCAGGGCCTTGATGGTGGCCAGGTTGCAGGCGAAGGTGACGCCCAGCGCCAGGAGCCCCAGGAAGGCGAAGGCGGAGGCGAAGAAGAGGTTGCCCCGCTCGGGCGCAGAGCCGGTCCCGTTGCCCCCTCGCGCGGTGCTGATGAAGCACCAAGTCCCGGGCCACTGGACCGTGTACTGGCCCACGCCCAGCACCGGCAGCAGAGCGAAGGCCAGCACGGCCAGCCACACGCCAAGCAGCACGGCGCGGGTGGCGCGCGTCTTCATGTGGCTCGCGTACCAGTGCGGCGCGCGGATGGCCAGCGCGCGCTCCACGGCCATGGCGCTGGCGATGAAGAGCGAGGACAGCCCGAAGACCGTCATGGTGAGGCCGAAGAAGGTGCACAGCCTCCCCGACGGGTCGTGCCGCTCCCAGCGCTGCTGCGACAGGTACACGACGATGACCACCGGGCTGGTGAGCAGCTGCCCCACCAGGTCGGTGAGCGCTAGCCAGCCGATGCACAGCAGGAAGGACTTCTTGCGCTTGCTCTCCCGGCGCCGGTAGCTCCGCGACACGAGCAGCATGGCCAGCGCGTTGCCCACGAGGCCCGTGATCATCATGGTGATCGGGAAGGCTACCGACACCGACCCGCAGTCCTCGCCCGGCCCCGGCGTGCGGGTCAGGTTGCTCCGCGCCTCGGCCGAGCGCTCGGGCGCCCACATGCCCGGGTCCGAGTGGTTGAGGCGCGTGCAGAAGGGGGCGCCCCCGCCGTCGCCCCGGGGCTCCCTCATGTCGGCTTCGAGGTGCGGAGGCGTCCGGGCCTGGAGCGCAGAGGCAGGGAGAGCTGGAGCGCAGGGCGCGGGAGATGGCCCCGGGCGGCGGCGACCCAGCCTGGGGCCGGGCTGCGCTCCATGGTGCGGGGCGCGCGGCCGCCTCGTCCTCCACGCGGCTGGCGATCTGAGCCCCGAGACCGCCGCTCCGGGGCCCCGGGCCGGCCCCGCTCTCTATAAGGCCGGGGGGCGGGGCCCGGGTGTGGGCCGAGAAGGTGGGAGGAGGCGGGAGCCGCGATCGCCGCCCTGGTCCTCCGCAGGCCTCTCCTCCACCCCGGGCGGGGAAAACCTGCAGCGACTCCGCCCGTGCCTTCCCGGGCTCAGAGGCCTCGGGGCTTCCCCACGCAGTGGAGCGGGCAAGGCAGACCTGGGGCTTTTCCTTTACTGTCCCCAGAAGCTCGGCCAAGGACCCGATCCTTCTCCCCAAAGCCCTTCTGTAACTCTTGCAAGTGTAAATCACCTGTCCCCAAGTAATGTACACAAGTAATCTACGCCCTTTACACACTGAGCTTGAACAGTTCCTCCTTCCTACTTCCAGACTCTAGAATTATCGCGAAAAGACCAAGCTGTCCGCTAAAAATATAAAATTAATAGTGACCAAAGTTGTAAGAGAACGGACATATGCGAACAAACATCCGATGGCTGAATTCTAAGAAGAGGAAATCTCAACTACCACCCCCACCCGATCTCGCGCCCCATCCCTGAGAAGAGAGCTAGGGCAGAAGTGGCCCGAGGTGGTTGACAGCCTCTTAGGTGTCTAAAGAGGCGAAACCCACTGCTGCCGGCCCGAGTTCGAGGAGGGAGGACAGGGGTCCTCTAGAAAGCCTCCAACTGTCTTCCCTTGCTCATTCTCCTAAGACTAGAACTAGAAACTGTGCTTAGGTGTTAGGGGCTTAATCCCTATAAAACCCTCGCCTGTGAAATAGGCACCATCGTCTAGTAATGCCTTTTAGTAAGCCAATGTTTTATGTATTTTCACAAGCATTTTCTCAGTTTAACACACAGGATCTCCCAAGTACTACTGCTATTATTATTTACTCTGCTTTTTTTAGGTGAAGTAACTGCAGCCTTACAGAGTTAGGAGCCCAAAGTTTGTGAGCAGTTCCTCCATCCCTTTTTATTTGAAGCAGTTCTTTACAGAGATACCAAACTGCTGTCAGCAGATGAAAATTAATATCAATGGAGCCCTAAGGATAAACCTGAATCATTTATGGGAAAATGGACGCACCTGGAGACCGTATTAAGAGAAATGGATACACAAGCTTACATGTCACATGGTTTCTCTTATATGAGAAAACTCAAATATAAAGAATAAAAGGTAGCTAGTAGGAAATAGGAAGATTGAGAAAGAAATAGGGAGATCTTTTGCAAAAGGGAAGGTGACCGAGAGAAGAGAGGAGAGGAAGGGGATGTTAAAAGATTTGTTATGTATATGTACTAACTGCCCATGAGGAATGGAATCATTGCACACTGCAAACATGCACTAGCATAAAAATTAAAATTGAAAAAGAGAATAAAATTAGTATTGAGGCCAGTTTTCTCCAAATCTTGGGGGCCTGGTTTTTCTGCCTTGTCATGTTGTCAAGAAGATTTTGAAAACTATTTATAAACTTTCTTTATCTTTACATTAAAAAAAATTAGACCTAACTGTATGACACTATGAGGGCTGACACAAATTAACATTCAGAACAGGCCCTGTCAGCTGCCTGCCTTTCTTAGCTGATGTCCTGTCTGAGTGTAAGGAATTAGGAAGAGAAAAGAATCCGCCTGTTGCTGTACATTCTCTCTGTACTCTCATACAGTATCACAAGATTAATGTTTTGCATTTTGCTGCCATTTAAAAAACTGTTTTACATTTCTGAGCTTTATTTACTAAAATGTCATGATTAAATAAAAATGGCTTGGAAGGAACAGTAATGTGTCTTACTTCTTAAATCTTTCCTAAACTTGTGTCTCACTACTTTTAATTATCTCAGATTCTATTTGGGAAAGTATTTTTCTAGAATAATGACATTTTAAAAATAATGTTTGATGTTATTCTTAGGTCAGGAATATCTACCCATTGGGGTGAAAGTGCATATCAAACTTGATTTTTCAGCAACTAATAAAGTTGTAGTGTAATGGCCTTTTTAAAAAATTTAGGAACATTTCACTATTGATACAGCAAAGAATGTAGAGCTTTTATCTCTCCACTTGTATTAGAGTTATTTTTGTTTTTCTTTACAAATATTTTTCTTCCTTAAAATTCTTCTATTGCATTGCATCCTGTAATCAACCGAACTTCAAAAGAATGCTAAGTGTCAGGTCATGTATTAGCAAAGAATTAATGTAAGCCTCTTGTATTCACCTTGTCATCAATACATTAAACGTGCTTCATTTCAGATCTTCTGTGTAACACTTGCCTTCTTTCAGTGTTTTCTTTCATCTTGAGTTATCTGCTTTGTAGCTATTCACCTTGTAGACAAGTGACTCTGAGGACCTGAAGGAGTAACACAATATAAAGGCGGTAGATGGCTTCCTGTTGGTATTTTTTGTGCTGCAATTGTCTGCATTGCGCTGATCCGAACCACCAGCCCCATCTAGTGACCTAAAGGCAAATAACACGGAGTACATTTCATTGAAGAGAATTCAAAATGACAGTTGAACGCTTCCGTTGGTGAACTTTGGATCGAACTCTGGACTTGGCGCTTGAGAGGCAGGCGTCGGAACCACTGAGCTAAATTCCTGGCCCATGGAAAGTGAAGGGTGTTGTTTTTTGGGGTTTTTTTGGCACCGGGGATCAAACTCGAGTCGGGTCCTTGCGCTT